TAAACAAAAGACATGAATGACCGAACGTATGTATTAAGGAAAACTAATGTGTGTACCATAAGAATTAAAAGGAATTGGAAATAATTGAAAAATATCTTTTAATAATCATTTTGAAGTCATTTTGATATCATAACTTGATGTTCTGCTTAGACAGATTCGAATATACAGTATAAATAAACGATCGACATGTCGTTCATATCCATTATCTGATATGTAACATAAACCATAGAATACGACGATAGAAATATGGTAATAGTTAATTAATGCATGGCTTAGCGATGCGAAAACACCGCGACCGTTTTTTTTGAAAATGTTAACGGTCATGATTATCGTACGACGCAAAACGAATCGGAAATAATTGAAAAATGTCTTTTAATAATCATTTTGAAGTCATTTTGATATCATAACTTGATGTTCTGCTTAGACAGATTCGAATATACAGTATAAATAAACGATCGACATGTCGTTCATATCCATTATCTGATATGTAACATAAACCATAGAATACGACGATAGAAATATGGTAATAGTTAATTAATGCATGGCTTAGCGATGCGAAAACACCGCGACCGTTTTTTTTGAAAATGTTAACGGTCATGATTATCGTACGACGCACGTGGTGACGTCACGGAGTCTATTGTTTGTCGGCAGTACCAGGCAGTGCCAGGCAGTGCCGGGTCACCCGGGTCAGCTAACTGACGAGGTGTGACTATATTCAGTTACAACAATTCATCTACAATTTATTATGAATAACTGCACAAATACTTTCTAAAGATATCAAAATATACGTAAAAATCGTTTAATAATTTATTTATACTTGTAAAAGTGAAGAAAATTAAGCCAAGACATGAATGACCGAACGTATGTATTAAGGAAAACTAATGTGTGTACCATAAGAATTAAAAGGAATTGGAAATAATTGAAAAATATCTTTTAATAATCATTTTGAAGTCATTTTGATATCATAACTTGATGTTCTGCTTGGGCACATTCGAATATAAATGAACGATCGACACGTTCACATCTACTATCTGATATGGAAGATAAACTGTAGAATAAGACGATAGAAATATGGTAACAGTTAATTAACGTACGACTTAGAGATGCGAAAATATCGCGACCGTTTTTTTGAAAATGTTAACGGTCATGATTATCGTACGACGCAGTGCGAATCTATTCTTGTTAATCGCGGACCGTTGGCTCGTTCGAAGCATCGGAGTGAAGTGCCGTGATCTTACTGGTTCCTGGCTTCCTGTAGTGTATTATTAGGAGTCAAAGGATTATCATAGAGCATAAATTAGTACGTGAGACCGCCAAACGATCCGTATTTCACGATATCAATCTTGCAGACTGTGCGGCGTTGCTCTGATCGGGCCGTTGGCCATTTGTGCGTCGAAACTTCTAGAAGCGGAGTGAAGTTGCTGCGATCTTTCGAGCGTCTTGAACAGGTATTTAGCGCATCGGGAGTGTTGAATCTGGCAGTGAGTAATTATCGTAGCATAAATTAGCATAAATTTGTACGTGTGATGGCCAAACACATTGAATTCCGCCCTGTTGCGTCGCGTCGCACCGTTGCAGTTGATGCGTTGAAACTTCGAGCATCGGCGTGAAGTTGTCGTCTTTTGAATTTCGTAAAAACGTATCTCGGATTCGGACGTGTCGGGAGTGTCGGGTTCAACAATTCAGCGGTCGTCACGAAGCGTAAATCAGTGTGCACGTTGACATTTTTTCGGACATTTGCGATTTTCGGACAATTATGTCGGACATTCGTGGTACGTCGAAAGTTCGAGCGTCACGTTTACTTGATTTTAAATAATCAGTTAACATTGATAAGTTGATTATTTATTAATTTAGTAAAAAGCAAATTTTAATTATTATATACAATTTATTTAATCATTTTTAACCTTTAATACACTTTCGTGTCCATTTCTGTTTTTTGAAATACTAAGAGCATTGATCAAATACCGGTCTTTTTTCTATTCCTAAAAAAAGTTTTGCATCTAAAAATCAAATTTTGTGCATTATCGGCCTCAATTTGTGCGTATCCTTTAACTAAAACTCCGAAGTTCATCTCTGGCTCACAAATGACCCTAGGTGTGAACAGAGTACACACATTTTCTGTAACTAAAAAAATTTTTTTTTTCTTTAAAACTAACTAATTCTCGATTGTATCGCGAGAATATTTCGCGAATTATTAAAAAAATAATTTAATCCTAAAACAGCATATCAGCTCTTAATAAACGCGATTTTTGGTACTCTTGTTCTAAATGTTGAGTAATATGATATATTATGCTGTCTCTGTAATGTTATAAAGAATATTTTCTTAATAAATTACAAGTTTTTTTTAACACAATAGCAATAATAAAATACATTGTTTTAAAATGTAAATGCAATATATTTTCAATTTATAGCCACTCGTGTATATTAAAAAAACATTTTCAGATTATTCAATAATAAACTTTTTAGACGGCCGACACTTGAACTATATAATTCAAGTGTCGGTTGTCCAAAAAGTTTAGTTTTTTTAATATGTATGAATGGCTATAAATTGAATATATATTTCATTTATATTTTAAAACAATGCATTATTGCTATTATGTAAAAAAAACTTATAATTTATTAGGAAAATGTTCTTTATAACATTACAGACAATATATAATATTACTGACAAAACATTTAGAATAAGAATACCAAAAATTGCGTTTATTAAGGGCTGATATGTTATTTTAGGGTTAAATTCTTTTTTTAATAATTTACAAAATATTCCTGCAATACAACCGATAATTACTGGAAAATAAAAAAAAAACAAAAAATTTTTAATTACAAAAATGTACACTCTATACACACGTTGAATCATTTGTGACCCAGAAGTGAACTTCAGAGTTACATCAGTTAAAGAATACGAATCGAGGCGATAACGCATAAAACTTGTTCTCTAGACGCCTAACTTTTTTAGAAAAAAGATCGGTATTTGACCAGGTGCTCTTAGTATTTCAAAAAAAAGAAATGCGCAGGACACGAATGACCTAGATGTGTGTATCAAGGGTTAAATATTTACTTCATACCATTCATATTTGTTTACAAAAATATCTTTAATATCCCATAACGATTTCGAAACTGTTCGGAATCAAATTTATATTAATTTTGACTGGTTTTCATTTGCTAAAACTGTTGGATTTTATAGTTGGGATAATCTTATTATTGAAAAACACGAGGATTTCGGTCTTTATTAGTCTATATAAATATATATAATCGAACACAGTATAAATCTATAAATATAATAATCTATTTACAATTGTGTGGACGTATTAACGTAATGACACCTCGGGATTTTCATACCCAGGACAATCTTGCGTCAATGGTTCACACATCAAAGAGGTAATGAAGACAAATATCAATGAAAATATAATAAAATCATTTCCCATACCTAGATCCTCGACGATCAAACAAATGTCCGTTGATAAATTCATTATTCGCGAGTAAATGTTTCCGATTTCACAAAAGAATCGTTATTTTATGTCTTAAACTTTAAAAAAGATTACAATTTCGAATCGTCTTCTATATTTTGTCAAAAATCGCTTAATAAATTTACAAACGATTTATTAACGATAAATTTACATTACGTGAATAATGTCGAATAAGTCTTTAATAGTTGTCTTTAGAATCTAAATAGTCATATGTATGAATACCGGATCCAAGAATGTCGCATGCATTCGTTTGATCGTCAAGTCTGGACCTAATGATGAATCTCGTGGACAATAAATTAGGACGAAATATCGACAGTGAGATATACATGACATTGTTTTGACTACGATGTATACTATATCATGTACGACATTACTTCACGTTTCCAGGTTGCACTTATGATTTGTGAGCTTTTATTTATTAACCATTATAGTTAATAGTTAAAATCAAATTCAGTTACATATATAAGATCATTAAACATATTCAAAGTTGTAAAAGCATGTTCTTAATTGTTTAATATTCTTAACAAACATTTAATATTTTTTAAACAAACATTTTTTTAAACTAAACATTCATACTGAAAAAATTTTTTTCTATATTTTTAATATATATTTTTATGAGAAATTATCCCCTTGCCGATTATATTATACGTCTCGTGTATAAAAAAAATGTTACAGAGATAGAAAAAGATACAAGAATTAAAAAATTATCGATTGTTATAATTTGAGTACACCTGGAAAAAGAAGTTTAAGAATCATTATCGTACAAGATTGAAATTATCTATGTAAAAAGCGAATCATTTTATGCTCCGACAATAGTATCCGATGTATGAATATTCTCTAGCTTCTGCTGTACCGCAGTCTCCTTTTCTTTCTCATTCTGCTCTGATCCTGATATCACATAAACCGGCTGTTGACTATAAGCGAGAAAGTGTTGATCCATTGGAAACATTTTCGAGGGATCCTTTAGCTTCATCTGCAAGATTTATTTAGAAAATTTAATAATGGCCGTATCATAAATAATTCTTAACGATGTTAAAAATATATTAATAAATAAAACTCAGATTAAGATATAATTACATGGAAAAGACAGTTTTACTGAAGTATTTAAAAATTTAGCTAGATATAAATCTAAAAATAATTTTGTTAGATCATCAAAAAATAATTATAAGCTACTTTAGAATGTTAAAACTTTTTGCTGTATCATGCTTGAGTATCATGCTTGAGATTCCTACTGAATTATTAAGACGGTCCAACAAAATTATTTTTAGATCTATATCTAGCTAAATTTTTAGATACTTCAACAAAATCGTTCTTTCCATGTACATTTAGATTGCTAGACATAAGATATTATAGATTTAATACTCCGAAAATAACATCAAAATTTGTAACTGTTATTAAAACTGGATTCACGAAACTCATTTAATTTGTATTGATTAAAAAGCACTAATTGAATTTAAAGAAGCAAAACAATATAACTCATATAATAAGTACATATGTATGTGAATACATACTAAATTTACTTCAATAACAAATTTGCAAATATAACATAAAGGATATAATTGAATGGATTCAATAGAATCAGGGCCTAAGCACAAAGATGAGAAATAATTAAGAAAGAAGCATGTAACTAAATCATGGAACGTAAGTCGTAATTGCAGGTTGACCAAAACATTGTGCATCGATCTATGATTACGACTTCCATTTCACAATTCAATTATGGCAATTATTCTTTGCTTATTATTCTTAGCCTCACTCAGTTCTAAAGAGTTAATATCTTCAGCGAAATTTTAAAAGTTCCTACCTTTTTACGGTACAACATTAGCAGAATAACGAGACTACTAATAATGAAGGCGCTGCTCGCCGCGAGAACGATCGTAGCCGTTTGATAAAATGGTGATTCCATTTGTGTGAGGATCTCACGTTGTTCTAGTGTGACAATCCGGCTCTGCGTTGCCACAGGTGTGGAGCGATGCGTAAAACGTGAAGTCGTCGCATCCGCAGACGAACCCAGCAAAGACAACTTCTGAATTCGCGTGAGCTCTTCTAAATGGAACGCCACATCTACTTTGTTCGTGCCGACAATCTCAAAGCTCAAGATTGCCGAATCCTGATTGATTTCTACTCGTACGTCTTTTCGGAGTCTCGCACCTAGTTCGTGCAGAAAATTCTCGGCCTCTCGAGTGAATCGCTTCTCGTCGCTGGCGAGGAATCGACCGGGGAAACGTAACGTCACTTCAACAGCTTCGACTGGAGTGGGTACTAAATAATATAACAGATATTATGTTTAAATTGCAATAAAGCATTATTGTTAAAATTTATAATTAAGAATTTTAACTTAGAGAAACGCGTGTATGCGATTGTTATATTATGAGATATCAGGGAGATTAAGATCGGTTATCATAATTTTTCAATGGTTACATTTTTAAAAAAGTGGATATAAGATTTTTAAACACGTTGCAATACACGTTGCAATACACGTTGCATTCTTTATGTATTTCCGTATTAAAAAATATATTACTCTTGAATATATCATCGTAAGTTATATAATTTTAAAATTGTGAAAAAATGTGACAATTATCTTACTCCAATTTGATTGTCACACATTCCAGAATTAGTAATAATATACTTTATGTGGATAAAACACAAAAAATACAATTTTTATTTTTATTTAGTTCTATATTTTAAGAAATAATAGTATAATATTTTTATATAAATGATTATTTTTTAATCACACAAATATGTAATTTATTTTCATATTAATTTATATGTATATAAATATACATAATTTTTATATGAATAATAAAAGAACATTAATATCTATAAAACATTATATTTGTAAATTAATCTCTAGAGATTGTAAATTTACAAATTTACAAAAGAAATTGCTGATTTAAAGAGACTAAAATTGACTGTCACGCGTTGCAACTAATCCCGACTATCTTGGTTAATACACCTCATCCATTTTTAATGAAAAAGATTATATTCACAAACTTTGTTACAATAATGATTAATAACTACAGAGCAAAAATTATCTAAGGCATTCCATTTTCTACTTTTTATATTACAGGGAATGCGATTGGTAATATCAAATGATAAAAAAGAGATAAGAAAAATTTATTCACTTCATTTTTTAAAAAGTCGTTATAAGTAATATACACATTTTTGGCGCAAATCATTTTATATAACAAATTAATATTATATCAGTAATTTATAGTTAAAAGAAGAGAATCCCCTGTCATATATTAATATATTAATACTTAATATATTAATATATGACAGGGGATTCTTTTCTTTTAACCATAAATTAATATATTAATACTTAATATATTAATATATGACATATATTAATACTTAATGTGACCAGATATTTTTAGATCTAAAGTAGGAACTTTATTAAGTGGGATTGAGGAGGAGGTAGATATGGATATAAAGATAAGCATAATAATAGTAATTTATTTTTTTAAAATAATACAATTATTTATTTTATATTTAATTTCATTCTAAATTATTTGCTTTAATAAGTTAGGTAAATACTTGGGAAATATAAAATTTTTGGCAACTGAAATCAAAATTAATTTTTGTTATATATATAATATGCTTTTAATTAGTTTTAGAATACAAACTCAAAGTTCACTTTTTTTCTGCTGTCCATACTTCGTTCATTGCAGAGAAAATTCATTCAACTGCTGCATTATTTCCTGGAAGCGATAATACATATTCTATGATTCTATAATTTGGCAAAATATGAAATATTTTTCAGCGAGACTTTTTCGTTACTTTTTGCTAAAATCGAGGCATGTAACATATTTGGAACAGTGGGACTATCCCATCGAAATCGGAACATCTGGTCACATTACATATATTGATTGAATTACCTACAAGCGTTTTGACAATCATTCCCTGTATGATGACTATCTACTGGCTCCAATCTCTTCTATACTAATCCTATCTTTTACTCTGTTATTTCATAAAAGTTAAATTGAAAAGTTAATAGATCTTAATATAAAATTTTAATTCAGATTTAATTCATATTTTAATCATATACTTGTCATATTATTGCAACTAAGTTTTAGTTAAAAAAATCTTCCACTTACGGCAAATGTTAGTTCCCTTCACAAACGGCTCAGATCCAATTAGTTGATTGCCGGCTTCATCCACGCACCAGCAAGTATCACCAGCGCATTGTGTAGGTTCAAATCTACCCTGTGGGTCGCATATCGTAGGCACGTGACCTTTGTTCTTCATCGCCTGACATCTGGTCCCGAGGATCTTTCCTGTTTGCCGTTCGTTCGTTTCTAAGTTCAGCAGAGCATCCTCCATAATCGCTTGAATCTCACGATCTATCTCCTGCGACTCCGGTCTTCTGCCGCCGCGTCTTGCTTGCCGGAAGTTACACTTTGGCTCGGCGATTCGGGTGAGTGAACCCTTAATTGGCTGGCCCTTACGATTCACGCACCAGCAGACACCAACGTGCTCCAGACACTGCACCGGTTCCCACGTTCCACTATCAGGATTGCACTTGGGCAAGAAAGTGGGCTGCTTGAGTCGTTGCGAGCGCTTCAGATTCTTCTCGCGCAACCTCTCGCACTGCGACAGTACAGGACACACTGTATCGCACACCAGTCGACTGGAGAAGTCATTGTGGCCGACGGTGCACTCGTTCTTGCGCCGGCATTCGTTGCGCTCCGGATCGAAGAACCATCTCTCGGTCTCATTGAAGCCAACGCTCGGATTGCAAGGTATTCTTCGGGGTGGCTCGAAGCAGACCTCACGCGGTTTCGGACAGCATACTGCGTACTCGTCCAACGGCGACAGCTCGCATTTGTGCGTCGAGGGGCAATGATGACCATGTGGTCCACAAGTGGCGATCGAGCCGTTTTGCTCGAGCAACGGCGAACTGTTCGGGCATGGGTTGTCCTTCTTCGGTAAGCAGACTGGTACCGGGGGACACGGTGGTGCACTACACGCGACCTCCACCATCCGGCACGCCTCGTTCTCGCCGCGGCAAGTCACGCTGCGACACGGGTCGCGGCATGAGCACATCGGGCAGCCTGTGTCCACGTCCAGTTCGAAGTCATCCGGACAGTCAAGCTTGCAATCGATTTCTGGGCATCTCAAGGGTGTGTTACAGCGCGGCACGATTCCTTCGAGGACCCGAGTGCCCGCCGCTTCCTTGCCTTCCTCGTCTACACACCAACACATACCGTTGTGGCATTGCACCGGCTCGAACGCGCCGTTGGAGTCACACCTGGGTATGTAGGTCCTTCTCGCGGGCTCGCCTGACTCCCTGGCAGCATGCTCAGCGACCGCGCGAGCATGTTGGCAAGCCGTGGCCATAACTGGCGCCACACATTGCGTGCCGCAACCGGTCGAGCAACATTTATCGCCGGATGAGCATTCCTGATCATTACTGCACTGCAGCTCGCAGCTCGATGAGCTCGGCACGAGATACGGGCACTGGCCCGGTTTCGTCGTGAGACATGCCGGCACCGCTGGACAATACTCGTTCGGGCCGCAGTTGACGTCGATCATCGTGCAGGTCTCGTGCGAACCGCAGATGACATCGCGGCATGGCTCGTGACAACGACACTGCTCACAGCCGGTTGCGTCCATCTCGTAGCCGTACGGACAGATCAGATTGCAATACAAACGCTTGCAGATCTGTGTGAGTTCTCTGATGGCTTCACAGTCCGCTGAAGCGTCTGAGTCCAAGCCGGACTTTAAGATCACTCCGCGATGGTTCACGCATTTACAGCTGGTACTGTTGTAACACTGCAGAGACTTGTAACCACCATCCTCCTCGCACTGAGGTGCTGGAATTGCCAGGGACATTCCTTCTCTCGTACCTTCCATGCGATCGTTGAAATCCCGCAGATATTCGCACACTAAAAATGTTTTCTTGTGAAATTCGTGGAAAGCTTGGCGTTTTATAATTCTAATTTCTGAATATATATAACATATCTATATAACATATCTTTCAATCTAACTTATCGTTATTCTCATTTATTGTTATTAATAATTAAATATTATTTAAAATATTATTAAATTAAATAAAATTAATTAATTAATAAATTAATTAAATATTATTAAATAATAACTCAGCAAGAAACATTTTTGAAACATTTCAATATTGTAACGTTGCTGCAATATCAAAATGTAATGCTAAAATGTTCCAAAATGTTTCTTGCTTATAGGGAATGAAATTAACTTTATTCCTGATTATTTATTATATAATTATTACTTGTGGGTGCCTTTGCAGGGTTGGATGTTTCCATACAGCACACCGATTGATCGGCTTCCTGTACCATCGTGCATTTGTAACCGTCAGGACAAGTTTCGTTAGTAGAACAAGTTGCGGCGTTTCCATCTTGATCGATCAGCGGTGCACCGATGGTACAAGGACTCTTATAGGTCTTTCTGGGTTTACATTCCGGTTTTGTAGGGCATAGAAAATCGGGACAGCTATTCTCTTGTTTTAAGATACATTCTTGCCCTTCAGGGCACGGAAATCTATAAAAATAATCGCTTAATTAATCAAGTGAAAAGTTAATATCGACACTGGATATTCGTGTGTAAAATCAATATAATTATAATGAGTAAAAGATATCAAATAAATAATTTATAATTTATTAGCTCACAAATAAAATATTAATTATTACTGTGTTGTGATGCTTACCCTTCGCATGGATCATCGCACTCGCAAGTCGAGCAACCGGAAGCGTCCGTTTTGAAGCCGTATTGGCAAACCTGGGCGCATTGTTGAGACGTGCAAGACGCCGGAAGCGAACGTGCTTTGCTTATCGATCTACAATCAATCTTTTCGGCGGGCCCCATAGAACCGGATATTTTTCTACCATCATCGTCTACGCACCAGCAAACGAGGCCATTTCTTGAGCATTGCCTTGATTGGAAACTTCCATCTGCATAATTATTTCGTATTTTAGAAGCTTTATTCGACCACAAATCGATCGATAGGAATATTTGATGGCCTGTTCCTCACCTTCCATG